CCGAGAAGCCGGTCAAGAGCGAGGGGGACTTCATGGGCGATAAGCGCAAGAAGGCCGCGGAGAAGGTCGCCAAAAAGACAAGCAAGGCCACCAAGAAGACCATCGTCTCGGATGCCCGCGCACAGCTCCAGAAGGAGGTGGACTCCGCCCTCATTGAGGCTATCAAGAAGGACAAGCTGGGTTCGGAAAAGGCAGGGTATCTTCGCTCTGTCTTCACGATCAAGCCTGGCGATACTCCTCACCGCTGGAAGTGGTAAGCAGACGTGTCTTCTATGGAAAAATTCGATGCCACAGGGTTTCTTTTTAGAGGAGCGATTTCTTCTTTTTCATCTTGGTATTTCCTTTTCTTCTCATATTTACTTTTATTTAGGTGTTATAAATAAAAAATATAAAAGATCCGTTCCTATGTGCGTGAATCTTGGTCCTACTACATGATTTCAAAGACTTAGAAATATGAACCCCCCAATTCATTCTCTTTGTCTTTTACGCTCTGCTATAATGTGGTTTTATAAAGTAACTTTTCTCACGCTCAACAGGATAGTAAAAAAACATTTATAAATTTTTTTATTGCTTCTTTGTGAAATTACTTGTACTGTAAACATATAGTACTTTGATATTTGATTTACAATTTGTTTGATCCAGTTGATCATCCATCTACCCTATTTCCACCCTTAAGGGGCCCGCCACAACTTCATCCCATTGGCGTGGCATAGGGAAAACCGAACGTCAAAATAAGAAAAGACAGAGAAAGAGTGAAAAAGGAGGGAGGACACGATGCCATCAGCGCCGCTACCAGGTAAGGTCGCTTGCTACCAAAGCCCGTTATTCCTGTACAAGCGTCTCTGTCGGGCCTCAGGGCAGAAGGCGGAGGTGCTTTACACCTCCAAGGACAATAGCAAAACGGCCTTCCACATCGTCAGCTACCGGATGCCGAGCACCGCCCTCGTGGTGAATCGATGGTACCTCAAGGAGAAGGTCGAGTCCTCGAATCGGATGCGGCTGGAGGGGCTTTACGAGTGTGTGCTCTGTGCGTCCTGCACAGGGTCCTGCCCCCAGTACTGGTGGAACCGCGAGCATTTTCTCGGACCGGCCGTCCTTTTGCAGGCCTATCGCTGGCTTGTGGAACCGCTAGATCGTGATTTTGATAATCGAGTCCGGATGTTCGAGCACGGGTCATTAGTGAATATGTGCCATAACATCTTCAATTGCAGTGTGACCTGCCCTAAGTTCCTCAACCCGGGGCTCGCGACAAAGGAGATCAAGCGCCTGTCATCACCCGTGACGAAGCGGGTCGCGCCGTCGGTAGAGTATTCCTAGAATAAAGTGTTTATATTTCTTAAAAAAAAAGACAAAACTAAATTTTTATTTTCTCTATATATTACAGATTACAATTATATATATATATATATATATATTTATATAGTCATATATATATATATAATTATTTGTTAATTTATTTATGTAACTACATATCTGTTGGTGGAAAACAAATTCGGGTGTATGGCGGGTCATGGTAATATGGTGATTACTCTTATACACTTACTTATTCAAATTATTAGTATTCTTAGTGTTATTGTATGTTGTTATGGATCTACCCTATAAATCAGTTATGCTATGCATTTCATCGAATAATTAAAAATGATATTCAGAACAACAATGATGAGCATAAGATGTTCTATGCATTTTTCGATTCACGGTCATTAATATTCTTCTTTCCTTTCTCTTTGTTTTGAATTCTCGTTCTAAGGACACGTCTATGAAAAGCATGAATGCACACCGTACGCACCTAAATTGTGTGGCTTTATTCTGGTAAACTTATCTTTTTTCTTTTTTTTAGTGCTTCTTTGCTTATTCGTTTTTTTTTCTTTATTTTTTCACCTTTCGTGTTCATTTATCGCCTACCCTTTCCTACTTCCTGTTGTGAGGATCACTTGGTGAGGTTTTGTAACGCCTATTAACACACATTTGAACCCTCTCAACGGTGATGTCCCTGAGTTTTACCATCTCCGCCAACTTCGTCCGGCACTTCATGAGCATCCTCAGCCTGGCCTGTCGGAACAGCGACGTGGTGCTTTTCCTGCCCGCCGAGGACGCGCTGGAGCTCATCAGTGTACCTTCCGACCAAACCTCCCACCTGCGCATCGCCATCCACCGCGCCCATCTCGAGGGTTATCAGTACCTTCCCACGGCCGAGGAAGACGGGGGGGAAGGGAGGGGGGCAGGACAGCCCCACCTTTCCCAACGCGCGGGTCTCGTGCTCTGCGTGCTGTCGCGCTCCCTGCGGCTGACGATCCTCCATCAAAACATCACCCTTCTTCAGCGGATCCGAGTCCAGTACAGCGAGACCGCCCCCGATAGGGTCCCGGAGGAGGGCGATTTCGACGACCCCACGAGCGCGCAGGACGCCAGGGCGGGGATGCTGCACTGGGAGTCCACCCTCTCGAATGGGACGGTGAAGACCTTTTCCCTCTCTCCGGCCGAATCGCGCTGCCCTTCTTGTGTTTCGACCGACCCCACGGCCTACCACTTCGAGCTCAGCGGGAGCGCGAAGGTAGTGGGGGGGCTGCTCTACAACCTCTCCCCTACCGCCACGAAATGCGTGATGGTGCCTTTGAATGGGCGGCTTGAGATACGGCGGATGGTGTACACGACCGACCCCATCCCCGAAGAGGACGGCAGGGCCGACGAGATCAACGCCCCGTGGGGCTCCCGGCGGAAGGGCCGAGGCCGGGGCACCACTGGTGGCTTACCAGACGAAGAGCGAGGGAATGGGGATCCCGGCAGTGGCGGCAGCTCCGCGGTCATCTCCGCGTACCCCCAGGCCTTTAACTCCTTCCGATACTTCGATCTCAGGGGGGATGAGGCGCGAGGGAGGGATTCCCACCCCCCAAGTAATCCCGCTAGAGCCGAGCCACTTTTTATTCCTTTGCCGTCAAAGCTGGTGGATACCAGGCCGCTCCAACGTGCCGTGTACTTGGCGGGTCAGCTCGGCTTTCTCCTGCAAATCCGCTTTGGTGGGATAGGCTGTCCGATCCACGTACTGGCCTCCGGTGGAGGGGGGGGCTCGGACTCGATGGGACTGCAAGTCTCTTTTGATATGTACGTCGCGGCCCTGGATATTGCGCTGGATATCACGCAGCCCCAGCTCCCCCTTCCCACGCCAAGGAGCACCGTCGGGGAGAAAAATCCAAACGACAGCAGGCCGACGGCGGTGCCATCGGGTCCTTCCTCACAAGGCCCCATCGCGGCCTCGCAAATAATAGCACCGACAGCCCTTTACCCCTCTCGCGAGGACACCAAACAAGTGGAGGAAAGCCGTGTAAACGACGACCCTTCCCAAGGGAATCCATGTGAACCCCGGAACTCTTTTTCCACGACAAATACGCCGGTGGCGCGGCGGGACAACGTCCTGGCTACCCCAACCCAGGCCGTCGGGGAGGATAGGGACGAACCACAGCAGCGGCGACGGCGGCTGTCGGATTTATATCCACTCGATTATGGCGCCTTCACGAGCGCACAGGCGGCGGAAGAGGAGAAAGGCTTCGACGACCTCTTTGGGGAATTCTTATACAAGGAAGAGGATGATGACGTGCAGCGTTTTCTGCAGAATTGTACCTCGATGTTATCGGAGGACAGTACGGGGGAGCGATGGAGTTTGTGTTAGCAAGAGTGGGGCAATAACATGTTAATCGGTGGTGAGTAAGACTTTCACCATCACAGGCAGTCAGGGAGAAGAAGAAGTAAACACAAATCTTATCATCGCCCCATTGATGTGACACCTAAATAGAAGAAACGAAGTTATATCATATATTTACAGAGAAGGAGCTACTCTACAACCTTTGCTACTCACCTCACTTGATATTTTCTTGTCTTTTTTTTTTGTACCATTGGCTATTGTGATTAACGCATGTCATCTCTTCTGACCCCACCCGCATTTTATCTCTATCCATTACGCAAGGAGGGGAAAGTCGGAATCTAGCAGTGTGTCAAGGATTCCAATAAGAACAAAAAGAACAGGAAGTCTATACGGCATGGCATTCCGAACAACCAAAAAGCTTAGTGCCGTAGTGCATGATGATAACCCATACAGTCGTCTTATGGCCCTTCAACGCATGGGGGTTGTTGAGGATTATGAAGCCATTCGCTCCAAGGCCGTCGCGATCATCGGAGCCGGTGGAGTGGGCTCCGTCGTGGCTGAGATGTTAACCCGCTGTGGGATTGGCAAGATTCTCCTCTTTGACTATGATACGGTCGAGCTGGCGAATATGAACCGACTTTTCTACCGGCCAGAGCAGCAAGGCATGAAGAAGGTGGCTGCGGCGAAGACAACTTTGGAAGAGATTAACCCGGACACCAGTGTGGTCCCCTACGCCTTCAACATCACGCACAACGACCACTGGGAGGATTTCGTAAAAGCCTTGACGGAGGGCGGCATGTCACCCGGCAAGGCCGTGGATTTACTCTTGTGCTGTGTGGACAACTTCCAAGCCCGGCTGGCTGTGAACATGGCGTGTTTAACCCACTCCATTCCCTGGATGGAGAGTGGGGTGTCCGAGAATGCCGTCAGCGGGCACGTCCAGCTTCTCCTGCCCGGCGTCCTGCCCTGTTATGAGTGCTGCCCTCCCCTTGTGGTTGCGATGGGGCTGCCGGAGGCCAAACGCGAGGGCGTCTGCGCGGCCTCGCTCCCCACCACAATGTCCATCATTGCGGGATTTCTCGCGCAAAACACGCTGAAATTCCTGCTGAACTTCGGCACCGTTAGTGAGTATATCGGCTACGACGCGATGCAGGACGTCTTTCCCCGGATCACAATCAAGGCGAACCCGGAGTGCGGGAGTAGCATCTGCGTACTCCGGCAAAAACAGTACGCGAAGAAAGTGGAGGAGATGGGGGAGGCGGCGCATCCGCTCTACGCGGCCCGCAAAGCGCGCGAGGTGCGGGAGGCAAAAAAAGAAGTGGCCGCCAAGGAGCGCGCGAAGGCGTGCGCCGCGGAGTGGGGAATTACGGTCGAAGACCAAGGAAAAGCCAGTCTCGTGCCCTCAGATGCCGTCCTTGGAAGCTTCGAAAAGGTTCACGATCGGCAGACAATGTCGTCAACAGGTGAGGGTAACGACAAGAAGCCAGCGGTGGAGTACGCCTATGTAAGGGAGGCTGAGATCGGCGGAACCCTCACTGGTGGGGAGTCAAACGCGTCATCGGCGGGGGAGCGCGTGGGCATAGTAGATGAATCGATCGAGGAGCTCATGATGCGCATGAAATCCCTTCGCTAATAGTATAAAATCAAAGAAAAGTAAGTGACATAGTGGCTCTCTCGATGGGGGTACTCAAATAAAGATTTTTTTTAGCCTGTAATGATTTAATAAGTTATTTAACGCAAGCGTGGTGATGACAGCGGCCCATCTAAAGAAGTGGCATCTTATCTGAGGAAAGTGAACATACCTCCC